GGTCGCGCGGCCGGGGGGTCACAGATGGGGCGGACGCCCGGGCGGGGGACGGAACGCGGCCAGGCTCCGCGGGGCACATGGGTGCCCGGCACGCGCTGCCCGGCGGTCTGGCGCGGGGCCCGCACCCCAAGGGATGCAGGCATGCACGCCTGAAAAACCGCGCCCCGCCAGGCGCGGGCCTCGGGCCTCTGCGCATGTGTGGTGTGTGTGTGTGTAGGTGCGCGCTCGTGTAAAAAAGGGCGCGGCGCCCGTGGTCTCCCGGAGGAGGGACCTAGCTCGGGCTCGAGCCGGGCCGGGTGTCTTCTGTTGTGCCGGCTCCTCCGCGGGGCGCAGGGCCGGGCGGCTGCTCTGGCGCGCCGGGATCGGTGCGATGGAGCGAAGACACCCGCCGGCGGGCCAGTGCCCCGGAGCCGCCGCCACTCTCGCGCCTCTCGCCGGCCGTCCTGCCGGTCCGGAGTTGCAGAGGCCCAACCGGAGGACGCGGGGCGAGCGCCGGGAAGGGGGGCCTGGCCGCGGCGCGGCCTCGGTGCGCCCCTCCTTGCCCGGCGGCCCCGTGGAGCGACGGGAGCCGACTGACTGGCCCCCCGGGCCGCCCTGAGCGCCCCGGCCACGCAGGCGTAGAGGTCAAAATTGAGCAGGCCCACCAAATTTCCCCTCCCGGGAGGAGGCCCCGACCGGCCGGCCGGTGGCGGTAGCCCCCGGACGTCGGACAGCATGATGAAATGTGCATTATCTATTACCGGGACCCGGGGATGAGGCGTATTACATAACAAGGCAAGTGAGGCCAGCGAGCGCCCGGGAGCGAGGTCGTGTGACTCGGTCGCCGCTCCCCGACCCCGCCGGGGGGGGCCGGGGCGACATCCGCTGAAAGGCCCCTGCCTCTTAGGGCGAGGGGGGGGGGGGGGCCGGGGCGCGGGAGGAGCCATCACCCGGCACGGTCGCGCCCGCGACCGCCAGAGGCTGCCCGTGCGCCGCCGCCACCAGCACGCCAGAGAAATCGGCCTTTTCACGGGCATCTCCCAGGGCGGGCGTGGGATGCTGGGGGATTCACGCCGGCTTGGGGCGCTGCGCCGGTGTTCGCCCACCGCCATCGGGGCCACGCCAAGCTGCGCCCGCGTGCCGGTCCAGCCCGTGCCGACGCCCCCCCGCCCCCCTGCCCCCAGGGGATGGGGGCGGGGGCAGGGACGGAGGCCACCCCCCCCCCCGCTGCCCCCCGCCCGCCCGGCTTCACACCTTTTACACCCGCATCGG